TGGCTCTGTCCCAGCAGGTTTGGCATGCACCAAAAATAATAGAGATCATCTATATGGTATAAGCACAGGCACTTGAAGGGATTAAAATAAAACTTCTTACTACTGCTTGACTATACATTGTCAAGAAGTAGTAAGAAGTTTTATTTTAATCCCTTCAAGTGCCTGTGGGTATAAAGAATAAGTATGAACAGTTTTCAAGACGATCCATTAAGAATTGCGATCAGTAGGCAACACACAGAGAGAAAATAGGTGTGGCTCTGCCCATGGGGGTTGGGCAAGCACCAAAAACAATAGCAGTGATGCTTAAGCGGTATAAGGAATAAGTATTCAAAGTTTCAAGATGATCTGTTAAGAAATGCATCCTATGACAAACAACCAAATACAAAAAATGGTTGTGGCTCTGCCCCTGGGTGTCAGGCATGCACCAAAAACAATAGGGATCATCCTTATGGTATAAGGAATAAGTATGCAAAGTTTGAAGACAATCTATAAAGAATTGGGCTCTGTAGGCACACACACACAAGCAGAGACACAGACAGGGGCGACAGCATAATACGTCCATATTATGAATGTGGACATAATATAAAATCTTAATGGTCCATACTGCGTTTTGGAAATGAAATCTGATATTTTGAATTTCAACTGTCGAGGGTTCTTTTACGTGCATGCCAATGTGTACATGGGACCTTGTTTTTTTAGTCCCATATGAACGCCTCTACATTGTCCCATGCCAAAACCTATGTCCTGTACCTCTGACATAATTGTGAGTAATCTATATATACTATTCAAAAAAAGTAGGGGATATTTGATTTTTAAGTGTTATTAAGTCACCTAATGAAACTGACGAAGAAACAAATGACAAAATGAAATGAAGTTCACATTCATCGATTTATTCCAAATGATCGTTAGACTAAGTAAGGCACAGACTGACCATTATAAGGGTAAAATGATACCCGGGGTCAAACAGCAAAGTTACCACAGCATCACAACCAAGTCAGTAACGGGTAAATCCTCCTCTGTTTGCCAAACAAGCATTGATCCGACGTGGCATACTCCTAATGAGACGTCTGTCATTTTGGTCCAGATTGTCCCATTCCTGTTGCAACGCAGCAGCAAGTTCTTGGACATTGGCAGGACGTTGTTGACGTTGACGAAACCTCTGTCCAAGCATGTCCCAGACATGCTCGATGGGGGAGAGGTCGGGACTCAGTGCTGGCCAAGGTAATGTGGTGATGTTCTGTTGTTGGAGGTAACCTGTAACGATCCTGGCCCTGTGACATCTTGCGTTGTCATCCTGGAAGATGAAACGGCGGCCATGACGTCGTGCGAACGGCACAACATGGACTGCCAAGATGTTGTCCCGGTAGTACTGGCCTGTAACACGCCCTGCAACAACATGTAAAGCCGTTCTTCCAGCAACAGTGATGCCTCCCCACACCATAACAGAACCACCCCCAGATCGATCATGTCTGATGACATTAACGTCTTGGAAGCGCTCGTTTCGACGACGCCACACCCTCCTACGTCTGTCCAAAAAATCAACAGTGAACCTTGACTCATCTGAAAACATCACATTGCTCCAGCGTCGATTATCCCAGTGTTGAAGATCCCTACACCAACGACGTCTTGCCTGAATGTGATGATCTCTCAAACAAGGGATCACGCGAGGACGTCGGGCGCGAAGGTGACCCCTATGCAGTCGATTCCGAATCGTCTGGCCACTCACTCTCACACCAGTGTCTGTTTGAAGACGAGCGCTGATCTGATTTGCTGTGATGACACGATTTCTCAAGGCCAAGGTACGGATAAATCGATCCTGGACTTGAGTTGTCGCCCTTGGTCGACCTGAGCGTGGTCTGTCCTGTACAGATTGTGTATCACGGTCTCTGGACCATAGCCTGCTTATGACAGACTGAGAAACATTCATCGTCCGCGCCACAACCGCCTGTGTTGTGCCGATCTGTAGCATGCAAAGGGCACGTAACCTTTCATTTTGGGTAAGCCGACGCATATCAAAATTTGTTTTCTGGTCACTAAAACAATTAAACTGATGTTTCCACCCTGGAATTCAATGCCACAATGACTGTAACATTCAAAGTCAGAGTAGTGCAAATCTTGGGTTGGACCCCCATTATGATCCCAAGCATCACCTGCATTCCATGCGGTAGCTATTGGGCGTCACATGTAACTGGAAATGTTTCTTCTGTTAGGTTCTATAGTGACTTTTTTCGTAGTCATTTGCATATTTTAGTATTATGCCCCCAAAATCAAATATCCCCTACTTTTTTTGAATAGTATATATATATTTGTGACTGTCGTTTGTCTGTCTGTTCGGGGTTGGCGGCTACACTAGGTCTGCCCCGAGTCTGAAATTTGGGGTATAGGGGTAGCTCGGACCGGGGAGTAACATAGGCCAGGTGGCGTTAGTCTACCACTTCCGGTTTCGGAGTTATGACCCCCGAGCGAAGCCAGTCTGTTCGGGGTTGGCAGCTACACTAGGTCTGCCCCGAGTCTGAAATTTGGGGTATAGGGGTAGCTCGGACCGGGGAGTAACATAGGCCAGGTGGCGTTAGTCTACCACTTCCGGTTTCGGAGTTATGACCCCCGAGCGAAGCCGGTCTGTTCGGGGTTGGTAGCTACACTAGGTCTGCCCCGAGTCTGAAATTTGGGGTATAGGGGTGGCTCGGACCGGGAAGTAACATAGGCCAGGTGGCGTTAGTCTGCCACTTCCGGTTTCGGAGTTATGACCCCCGAGCGAAGCCGGTCTGTTCGGGGTTGGCAGCTACACTAGGTCTGCCCCGAGTCTGAAATTTGGGGTATAGGGGTAGCTCGGACCGGGGAGTAACATAGGCCAGGTGGCGTTAGTCTACCACTTCCGGTTTCGGAGTTATGACCCCCGAGCGAAGCCGGTCTGTTCGGGGTTGGCAGCTACACTAGGTCTGCCCCGAGTCTGAAATTTGGGGTATAGGGGTAGCTCGGACCGGGAAGTAACATAGGCCAGGTGACGTTAGTCTGCCACTTCCGGTTTCGGAGTTATGATTCCCGAGCGAATCCAGGTATCCTGCTAGTAAAATATAATGAAATGGCTATCTCTGAAAAATAATACCAGTGTTGGAGATATAGCAATGCCCATAGTTTTCAGTTCCATCTGAACGACTAAGGCAACACTTTACTTTTGTTAGCCTTGCAGGCACTAGGCCCTTGTAAATGGGAACTGGGCTTGAAAATGATTCTCTTTTCACCATGCATCCATTAACAATTGAGAGATTGAACCTCAGGGAAATTTTGTCAAGTTCAGTTCGCTTATCGCTTGACTACCACCCCATAGTTGCATAGAGTTTGTCCCATTAATGAAACATCAAATTATTGTACAGTGTAGCCTACTTTATTTGGACTGAAATCTAACAGGATTCTGTCAGTTTGTTTGCTCTATAAAATGAATCCCTTTTAAATATTCCGTCTTGTACACAGCTTTGTTCCAGTCCCATCAGACTTAAACTAAGAAGTAAGGTGATACAAAATTGGATATCATGAAATATCAAGGCCAGTTTATTTATGGCCGACATCTTATAAATTGTAGTGTCATCACTTGGACTGACTTATTGAACTGTGTACAAGAGGTAGAGCTACTCTCCCAAGGCATGTTTCAGGGCATTTGTTCAATTGTATCAGACAGTGCAGGCTGTTTCATAACCTGGCTGTTTTGTACCTAGTTCATTCTTACCTCAAATTACTGTCAATAATCCCAACTCACTCGATCAATTATCGACAATAATCCCAAACTCACTCATCTGAATTTGTTCAATATCAATGCCAGATTAAATATGAAAAAAAGGCAAGTACCGGTAGCAGTATTTGTTTTTTTTTAAAATATCGTCAATAATCCCAACTTACTCATCAGCTGCAATATTGTAGCTGCGTCCTGTTTTATCACTCAGTTGCAAAAGTAATCTAAGAAACGTGAAATCATATGCGTGTTCTAATTCAAATCATTTAATTATGCGGTGAGGTTTCACCTCTTTTTCAAATTATTGCAACAATAAAGGAAAGGTATGAATCAATTTGAGGTACGCAACGGCCAGATTACGAAACAGCTCGCATTCGTAATATCAGACTCATAATCAGATCTAAACTGTGAGTTGTGACAAGGTCTATTATTGGTCATTACCAAATATGTTCCGGTTTAAAAATTAATTTCAAATCAGATTGAAGGTTTAAGTCGTGACAAGGTCTATTATTATTGGTCATTACCAAATATAGTTTAATTTCACATCAGATTGAAGGTTTAATCAACAAAGGAATTTTCTCTCTCAACATCGTTTAAAAAACTGACGGAAAGTATCTGAATTCACAATATCATATTCGCCTTTGTTCATCATGTGTGAAACCATGTCAGTTCGTCAAAAAAAACTGTGACTTCTCTGATTGAAAACTATAAATTAATCATAAGCAACTCAGTGGCTGCTTCCACAAGAAATGGTCGTCATAGAAGATAAAACAGGATTTTACAAACTGACATTGATGTGCATGTAAAGATGAGAAAGACAGTCCAGAAGAAAGATGTGTAATTTGTGAAAGAGAGAAATGCATGCATCCGTTTACAAATTTGAAGAAAGTGGCAAAATTACAGGAAACGATCCAGTTTACACATACATGTATGTCGTAAATATTAGTCAATTTCAATAACAGCAGATTTTTTTTGGGTGTTGGAAACACGAAATTTTGTTTCAATAATATTAAGATGTAATTTAATTTTAAATATTGCGACAATTGTTTTTATTTTTTATTTACGACAATAAAAATCATTATTGGTCACTCGTCATCCCGAGCGAAATGAACACTTTTGTTATTAATTAGTCATTTATTCACACAAGCCCATAATCGATGTATAGGCCCTATAATATATTTTAAACATCGAATTTCAACTGCCAAGGGTTCTTTTATGTGCACGCCAATGTGTAATGGGACCTGGTCCAGTGGTAACTGGTACGTCCAGTTTTGAGATGTAACCGATTTTGTGTTACATATTAATAAGACAAAGTTTAAAAGGCGACTTTTAATCGTATAGATGTTGTCCCATTAACATTTAAAATAACAGTTTATGTTTCGAACTCGAACCAATTTTGGCTGTATGTACGTATGCTCATTTCAGAAAGAACCGAATAGTTCCGAGTACAGGGGAAATAGCAAGTAGAGTTTATTTATTTATGTAACTTGCTAAAACTTGGCAAAAGCCTAGCCAATAGTTCATTGTAGTATGGCTATTTTACAAAGATTATCAAGAAATATATTACCCATAATAGATAGTTTGGTACACTTTAGGCGCCCAACAAGTACAAAGGTAATATACACTGTTTTATGATTATGGCAATAATTTAATTATGAATTTATAATTTATGCAGTCCTGGGAATACTCGAATAGCCTATCTATATCTGTTCAAAATCCATTTTAATAATCTGATACGATATAACTCTGATCTATGTCAGGAATTTGGGGTCTATTTTTTGTATAATAAATATGATTATGTTTTTACTTTTACGTAGCTAAAAACGTTGAGATATACTGAGGCTTGAGAGATGAGGTTTGTTATCTTTGGAAAATATTTTTCCAATAATTAGTACGTCAGTATTATATATATGAGATTATGTCCTGAGATAAATACATGATGATATGCCACTAACAAAGTTTTAATATTATATAATATTTTAAAAACTCCAAGCTCTGTCAGAATAATTAATGTACCATATATTCCATGTTTAACTCTTTGTATTGAAAGCCATTAAATATTTAAATGACTCGTAAATTGAAATTTAAAACAGTTACCGGTGTCTGGTATGCAATAAGAATTTACATAGGTTGTTCTTATTGGTCCAATAGAGTATTATATGACATCAAGAAATTAAATCTAAATTAATACAATTTAATTCAATATTTCAGATATTATATGATGGAGAATGTAAAATTTGTTTGGCTGAAATTTCAATTCTCCGTAGACTACCTTCCAAAAAGACATTAGAATTTGTGGACATAACTAAAGAGGAGTATAAACCAGAATTATATAATGGAATAACATATGAAGATGCGATGAAAGAAATGCATGTAATAGCTAATGAAAAGGTATATGCTCTAATAAGTATTAATATGTTTTATTTTATTCAACTCATGAATTGTACTGCAACACAGAACAATTATTGATAAAAATTTTGACCAATATACTAAGCAATTCTTGATAGAATGTCAACCCAATACACAAGCTATAATAAGGAAGCCTGGGCAGTTGGAATTCTAAGAAGAGGTGCCACCATCAAAGCAAAAAGTTGGGTAAGCAAGGACGTGTTCAGGAATTTGAGCAGAGGGATGTCCAGGGTGGAGGAGTAAAGTTTGGTGTGATTTCACGGGGGTTTACCTGAGAATCTTATATAATTAGATGCTCCGAGACAATATTTCTATTCATTTAGGTGCATACATGTAGTGATGCGAAAATGGCAGCAATACTTTGCACATTGGTTTTTTTCATCATTATTTTGATGAGTGGAGAAGTAAATATATGCTTTGCGCAAGCAAAAGATGGGGGGGGGGTGGGCAATCTGGACACTGAGTTGCTGAGGAAGCCTTGACATAATTGGAAGCCTTGGTGCAAAATCATTCTGTTTCCTCACATTGCACAAACTATCATGGTTAATAAAAATAACCATATGTTACTCTCAAAGTGCGTTGTTTAAGTTGCCACCAAGAAGCTAAAGCTCCATTAGACAGAGCTTCTGTTAACATTCTGCCTCTTTTTATATTATAGGTTTATGTAAAAGCAGACGCCATTCGTAAAATGTATGATGAAGTTGGATTGACTTGGTTGGCCAATTTTACTCGATTACCCAAGATTGCACCATACTGGGATAAACTTTATGTAAAATTTGCCCAATACAGACTAGAAAGAGCTCTTAAAAATTGTGATACAGGTTCTTGTTCTGTCAAATTAAAGGCATTGAAGGGATCTCTCCATGACAAAAGTTAACGTCTGGCAAGTGTATTAGTAATAATTTATTTATTAAAGATTTACAGATACTAGTTTTATACAAAAATATTTATTGTATAATAAAGGCAAAAATCACAAGATATTATCTGAAGTCTGACTTTCAGTGGATGGATAGACTGTGGTTGTACAAATTCTAAGTCCAATATATAATTTTTTGTGTATCCCATGCTGACAAAGTGGTATAGACACTTGAATTCACAATACCGTACCATGAATAAAAAACATGAAATATGAATTTACTTTGCAAAGTTTTCGTGCGTTATCAAAAATGACCGGCAGTCATGTATATGGAATGACAACAGTTTTTTTTAGGTATGTTTATTCAGTAGGAAAATTTATTCAAATTTATATTTTAAAAAAATAAAAGACTGCCTCTATTATTTCAATGAGTTAAACCAGTAATAAATTGCAAAATTATGCAGTTATGTGAAAAGTTTATTAATACATATATAAACCAGTGATAAAAGAATGTATCTGGAATGATACTACACTGCATATAAAAATATTTCATTTTCTGTAAATTATCATAGCGGCTTTCAAACGATTGTAAGGATATGTCATTGTATAAAATTTTGTGGTATTGGGTGGTAAAGGGAGACACCTGAAATGCTGAAACACCAAGCTTTGCATTGACCATACAGTCTTTTTTAGTATTGGGCTGTGTGGGGTAAATTGCCCTGCACATTTACTATGAAAAGGTTTTGTTGACTGATTAGGCTCATCCATGCTTTCTTCTCAGAAAAGGCGAAAATTAACATCTTGGTGTTATTTTTTATATGGAAATATGCAGATCTCATTGAGTCTAAGGGATGTGTCACACAAACGAGTGCAGTCAAAAGACAATAGTTCTACCTACAGAAGAAATACAAGAAAGTAAAAATGTTTACATGCAGTAATTAAGGATGGTTTTTATTTTTAAGTGAATATTTTTTATATGGACTTAGCAATGGATGTATTGACCTTCTTGTTAGAAATCTGCCAAAATTTAAAAAAAATTATAATTTAATATTCATATATTTTACTGATCATTAACAATACATGTACTATACACCTAACAGAAAAATGCATTTGTTACAAGAAAGCGCTATGGTTTATAACTAGGGTTTATAAATTGATTTATATTTAAGACAACCAAAAAATGGAAGAATGCTATTTAAATTTTCGGATTTGGATTAAAGTTCTGACCAACAATTTTTTTAGATCTATAAATTAAATCTGAATAAAGATTTAGAATGTAATTTTGTGAATAAATATGCTATGACATTCTAATATTGAACTCAACTTGACAATAAATATGTCTTTTATTTATCAATTCAAGTTTTATTTCTTTTAACATGGAGGCATATGATCACAAACAATATTGGAATCGAGAGTTATCTCCCGTTTTACGTTCCAACTTACAAAGGGTGTGAACACAATGCAGGGGAATGGCAAAGTGTTCATTAGCTTTAATTTTCACTTTGTTTGATTGGCAAGAATTGGAGTGAACACAACAGGATGAAGCCATAATCAATTTTACGTACAGAACAGTTTTCAATAATAGTCTTCAATGAAGCTTGTGTAGTGTTCATATATGATGTCACATAATAAGTAAAGTTTCTTTCTTGGTTGGTTTTATCACTTCATCTTAATTTGAAGACTACACATGTGATTGTGAGAAGGGATGGCCGCTGCCCCTGCTACAGCGATTCCTACAGTATCTCCAATAGTAGCTACGCCCATACTAAACTCTAGATGTTCTGGTGGTACCTGGAACAATTTTTTAAACAATAAATATTTAACATATGCTAATACAAATAAATATTCTTGAAAATGAACAACATTTATATAAATTGATAGAATATTAAGTTTTCTTTCATTCCGTACTAAAAATGCTTTTTATTATTTTGGGATGGGTGAATGATCTTAACCATCATCATTTCATCTTGATTGAACATCTTTGATATTTAGGGCTCAGACTGTGTATGTACCTCTGGTAATTAAGCTAAAGTCACTATACATTTGCTTTATCTAAATAGCCATTTGTCTCGGTGATAAACTTACCCATTCTGTTTGTTAAGGGAAAATCAAATATAACTTACAATGAGGCAAGATATAATTTTTTTCAGAAAAATTTCAGAAGCATGAAGTTTTTATTGGAGACTGTTAGTATCCAAATACTTACCTCCACAGCTATCCTATAAAATGTATTAACATATGCGGCACCTCCTAAAAATCCTTCATAAAATACTATGGCGAATATAATCCATATGTTTGGTATAAAACGATAAAAAACTTGAGCTAGTAATACACCCATATTTATTAACTGAAACACAAAATTTTATAATACCATAATTACCGGTAGTAATCTATCATCTTACATAGAGTTATTCCTCTTCTTATTCTGGGTGGGTGTGTTTGTTTCAATGTCAAATCTCAAGATCACGCACCATGCAGTCATGATCAGTTTTTAAAGGACAGTAAATTTTTCACCATAAATATAGTTATCAAATATGATAGACCCAAGCCTCTTTGGCCCAGGCATATATGAATGAAAATATCCTCTTCTAGCCTACTGTAGGCTTACTACTAAATAACAGACAATATCCACCATTTTAATGTCATTATCTGTTACACTTGATTGTTTTTCAGTCATATTACTACAATGTATATGTAAGTAAGCTTGGATCACAACCTTGCTTTATAAGGGAGTCCAAGATAGCCATGATTGTGATTAGGGTTTGAAAGGTAGATTCACGACCTCAATTAACCGAGACTACTTCAATAGAAACATGACAGAAGAAAAATCTATCATGTATATGTTTTGGGGAGAATTTACTCCGGAGAGCAGACTTTCAGCCAACTGTAAAACAAGGGAAAATCAAATATAACTTACAATGAGGCAAGATATAAACTGAATAAATTATAAGGCTAATATTTAGCTCTCATTACCTGTAAAAATGGTAAAATCCATACTTTTTTAATGGGAAAAATATTCACTGAAGACCTTGATAAAAATACACCAATTTGATAATCTACCTGATACCTGAAAAAAATTATTATATACAAGAACTCAATCCTTTGTTCAGTTTGAGTAGCAAATAATGGTATTTTACATATTTCAAAAAAGTAAAAAATATGTACTATATTTTAATATAAAGACGAAAGTTGTTATATGTTACTAGCTGTGTATTGGGGTGCACAGATAGAGTTATTCTCCATTTTTGTAACATCTCTAGTAACTCCCAAAACCAAATATTGCAAATAGAGTTTTCTCCCTTGGATATAAAGGGACCTGGGTCATGCAGGACAAAACTGTCAATTTCATTATTAAAACTACACCAAATACAAAATAAATAAGACATTAAATTTTTTGTAAAATAAATGGTCATATAAAAATTTACAAGTTAAACTACATAGTCTGCTCTAGTGCACAAATAACCTTCTTGGGCCCTAACTTTTGGACCAAAATATTTTGAAATAAAAAGCTTTTTTGATTTGTGTATGGTCTTAAACTTTATATGTTAGCTTTATTCTTGCATGATGGAAATTAATCTTTTATGAGCCTTAAAAATTTGTATGTACATTATGCTGCAGCACCCGAAAGATGGACTGATGATTAGCAAAGACTGCAATATATGATCACATTTGAATATAAGCGTTTAAAAATACCTTACCATCTATATTGTTCTTTTTTATTTAAATATGGCCAACCAGTATTGTTGTAATATAACAACTCATGCTAAAAATATACATATCATGTTTATAGTATAAGAAACAGACACTGCAAAAGAAATAATGTGTCTTAAATAAACAAAAATATACAATCATTTCCAAATGTTTCAATATTTACAGCTAAAAGGGGAAATAGACTTCTAAATGTGGCATTTCATTTGCATACTTAACTTAACCAAACTTTTTTCAAGCCCGAAAGAAAATATTGTAAAATATTGGTGTACACTGCAGTTTTCTTTCATATTTAACTCTCAAAATGTTACTGTTCCTCATCAGTATACACAGTCATCATTTTGAATATCCTGCAGACACCACTGATGGGACTTCCACACTACATGTATATTTCATTCTTAAAGAAATGAAGGAACTCACCAATCCCTGGTTAATAAAATATTCTCCAAAATACACTGTTGTCAAAGGAATCATAAACTTCAGTAATGGCTGAAACAACATGGAATCTAAATTAAATTTCGTATTGAATATAGTTCACTTAAAATACCACAGGGGCCCTGAATTTGGAAGCAGCTGAGGCGTGCCTAGTGAGTAAGATGTTTGAACCTGGTGTGCACGTAAAATAACCCTTGACAATTGGAATTTGAAATGAGATTTGGTTACAGTGCCACTGTCCTGGCAAAATTTCCCTCATATTACAATGCATGACATATGCTTATCTTCATTAGCTCAGTCAAGCAGAACAGTAAGACGTTAAACCCTATTTCAGTTTTCTCTTATTTCATTTGATTAGTTTGTCTAGTTAGAGTGGTCTAAGGCCATCCATTGATTCATGTTTAATAGTTTCAATCCAACTCTTGTTACCAAATATCAAAACCACAGCCCTGGTGTAAAACCTTGTTAACATAACAATTTTATCTAAAAATATACATACCACAACAAGGCGTAGCTTATCTTTTAATGATAAATTTGCTGTTTTCTTGTCTGTTAAAAATATAAAAAAAATAAAAAATCTTGTTTTATAAACATGTTTAAATATTAATCAATCAAGTATCTTTAAAGATAAGATATTCTGTTTAAACTTATTCTTTAAAAATGGCATAAAGTAAAAATCCAAATAAGGAATGAAAATATAATTAAAATAGTCGTAATTAATTGGTAGTGTGAATATACTGGATCATGAATAAAACACATTCTATGCCATCAGCTGACAATATTCAATTCAATTCAATCAACTGGGTTGATAACAACTTAAGGGTATTATGTGTGTGGTGACACTGTGTTGTGCACACGGTAGGATGTGCTTCTATTTTGAGACCACTCATACCACCTGCCAATTATATGTGGTGTTTACATAGGTAGGTTACTATCTCTGGTGTTATCCTTTTTTGTAATAGGGCTGATCTAAACAAATTCATCAAAAGAGGGATCCATGGTGGCTCGGTGTGTATTGGGCGCTGGCTCACTAACAAGGAGGGCCTTGGTTTGATCCTGGTGTTGGCCACGAAACTTTTTCTGCTTTTCTAGCCTAGTGTTAACCTTGTCAGTAGTGGATACCATTAGCAGCATGTTTACAATTCCCCTCACAGTACACTTTGTGACATATACTGTAATCCCCATTTAATTTCATCAAAAGAAACCATACAATACAAAAAGTTGACTAGTGAGACAAAATCAGCAACAAGCTCATTCTAAATATATATGTTTATGTATCAGTACACTGATATACCCAACTAAATGATGCTGCAATTGACATGGTATATTCAAGAATTATTTGGTTATTTTAATAATTATTAGGAACTTTACTAAGCCTTTAATTAGCTAATATTTATAGAATTAGGTCTCAAAATTAGTTTTCGCAATATAAAGCTGTACAAAAATAATTAACTCATCATCAAAACTTCTTGCTATGTGCTGTATATAAAAAGTGCTCCAATGAATGCAGTTAAAAGGGGAAAGCGTATGGAAAATGTGCGCATGAGAGCTAAACTGTGAAGCAGGGTAGTTACATGATGACAAATCTAGCCTCTAATCAATAAACAAACATGGTTCTCAATCACCAGTACTTTATCCATTTGGTTAAATGGATTTTATCAACCATAAACTTAAATTCCCAGAAAGATTCCTAAATGTAAATACATCAGCACTGGGCATCACTTCTAGCAGTAGCACATAGGCCTAAAGCTTTCATCCTTCATTTCAGTCAAATTTTCTATTATGGGTCTACTCCTGGAGAGGTGGGAATTACTTAATTACTTGCAGAGATGTTGTGGGGATTGGTTAGCTCTCTGTGGAAAGCTATTTTGTATGATATTTATGTGTACTAGAATGATAGAAAATCATAAACTTCGAATATAAAAACATTATCAAAATTTGATACCCAAAGTTTCTAAAATTTTAGTCCTGGTAAAACTGCCCCTGGTACTGGTAAAGGAAACACATGTATGTTTTTTTTTGTTCAAATAAGTAACCTTCTCCAATTTCTTCATTATTTTTAGAGGAACTAGTGAATTGTTGGCTGGCAGCCATGTTAGTAAAAGATTTATAACTACGTGCTGCATCAACATCAACATTATATGCACTGTTACTAACGCCAGACTGTTCCCCTTCCAGTGCCTTCATAGAAACACCAAGTACAGTCGGGGATTTTCTTTTTGGTAAGCAGCAGGACATTCCTAGATACAGACGACAAATCTTAATAATTTTGTCAGACAATTTGAGAATATATATTTAGTACTTTATCTTTAAAGACATATTCTTTTGATGTGTGATCTTCTTTTAACATAATCATTGTTGGAGACTAAATTAAAACTACTGGGAAAATTATACATGTTGCTAAAAACAACATATTTTAAAAATCTATAAATAGTGTCATTATGTGTTGTCGCAAAAAAAAGCATGTAAGCACTGGTAATGATCATTAATAAATTTAGTAAAGCCAATTCTATATTTAATTATTATCCTATTTTAATCCCAGAATTCCAGAGAAAGACATGTACTGGTATGTATTTTGATACAGTATTCATTTATTTCCACAACCCAATTCCCTTGTAATATTCCATCCTTCCTCCCCATTGACATGGCTCTAGAATATTAACAGTGTTTTTCGTAGTCTGCATCCTCCAATCAAATAGTTCAATTTGTGAGATAAACAACTCTATTTTGTATTGAATAAATAAACCACTCTGTAAGAGGTTAGCCCCAATCTTTGTACACCATCCCTGGACTCTGACAGATGTGGGTATAGTTTTGGTTTTTTCAACTTTAAAGGGTTAATAAGTCAAGCTTTTTTCACACTAGACCTTGATATCGTTAGATTTCATGAGAAGATATTCATGGATAAGATTGTAACCTACCCTTGTCTTTTATTAATGAAGCTGTATCATCTGTCGGGTTATCTAAGCCTTTAGGATGAATTAATACACAAAAATAACTGAAAAAACAAGAATACAAAAAAAATAACAACTGATATAGTATAAATAAAGAGAAGTATAGATAGTATATATAAAGATATATATATATATATATTTACGTATATACTCTACGTAAATTTGGTTTCAAGTTATTTATATTGGGGGGTTGGATGACTGAATGGTTAGCACGTGCACGCTGTATCATAAAGCCTGTCATTGAGTCAACTGGCGGGGTTTCGAATCCCCGGTTGTACGTGACAAGGAGTAGGGTCGCCTGTCCAACCTCGTGGGTTTTCTCTGGGTCCTCCAGTTTCCTCCCACTACTAAAGACCCCTACGCGCAAGCGAATTATTGAAATAAAATAAATTGAACCATGTGTTAGTCCCGAAATGACCTAGTTTGTGTCGATTTAAACTCTCTCTCTCTCTCTCTCTCTCTCTGTTTCAAGTTATTACCTCTTTCAAAGTTATCAACAAAAGATTCAATTAGTGTAAACCCCATACAAATACCCTACGTCTGTCAATGTCATTAATTGTCTCACGATTAGAGTACACAGAGAGATGCTAATGTACTGAGAAAATAAATGAAAGTTTTATTTACTTTACTGCCATTATAACAGGAACAACAACCATTAGTAATACAGTAGTTCTAGGACTGACACCAGCAGATGTAAAACCAGCATATGATAAGGAACCAAATACACCAGCGCCACCTGTACCAGATGACCATGTTGATATAACATTTCTAGTGAAGTACAAAATATCAAACAATAAGGAAAACATTGTACTTCAAGAAATATACAAAAGATTAAACATACATTATGCAAGAGCTAAATCTGATTATTGCAAGTCTTAATTTAGGCTTCAGATGTTCTAGAAATTATAAATTAGATCTTTATTTGAACAACAGGCCCAAAATCAACTCTGTAGACCCACGGATGGCTCGGCTACAGCTCGGATTTTAATAGGATTTCACTAATTGATTAAATCAAATATGGGGCAACCTGATGAAAATATGTCAGTTAGATCGAGGCTAACTGATAAGAGTGTACTTAGCGAGGCCGCTATAGAGTGTTTCCGTATGCCATTGAAAACTTTACTTGATAATCGAGATATGTAGGTGGAGTTAACGCCTGTCAATCAAACGATCGGCCAAGGTGAAGACGCATTTCGCTACCATTTCTAGTCAAATATTACAACGATGATAACTATGTTGAGAATAAAGTAATTTGACTGAAATTTTCAATATATTCTTCTTTCATCATCTACTTTTGAACTGTTATAGCAAGAATGGCCAACTCTCTATAAAAATCTCTCATAATGTATCTTTAAGACTGATGAAAAATACAAAATTTTGGACTAGACATTTGTTAAAGACATTTGGCAGAACAAAAAAAAAGGAAAGGAATGGTATTTAACACATGATCAACACAATACTTCGGTCATTTTGAGAATATGAAACGGTTGTTTTTAGTTAATAATGTCACAGGTGTAAACAACCTGGTAAGTTGACCATCTATGAGGGCTGGCTGAAAAGTTCTAAGCCTGAAAAGGTAGATAAATTGGGATGAAACAAACGTTTGCCACCAACAAGTACACTCATCGAAAAATGAATCTGTGTCAGATCAACTTGTGAACCTACCCATTGAAATCACCAGAAATGGACAACACTGGCTATAGGGCAGTCGTCAAGTACCCGCAACTGAAAGAACTATTATAACCCCAACACAGATACATGCGGACATGGACTCCACTTTAGAGGATGGTGCCCCTTTCTTTTCCACATTAAAGAGGAGGGCTGCAGAATCTAAGCATGGCAGAGGTAGCCTTGACATTGATCTGCATCCTTGAAGGCCATCAAACAGCAACCATTCAAGAAAACATTAGCCGGGTGCATGACATGGTAATGGCTGATCAATGATTGACCACTCAACATATTGCCAGTATTGTGGGCATCTCTCATGAGAGGGTTGAGCACATTATTGCCAACAACCTAGAAATGATAAAAGTTTCTTGATGGGTGCCAAAGCTCTTGACTGCGGATCAGAAACATGTCAGATTCCTGACGTCTTGTGACAATCTGCACTGTTTTCAGCTCACGTGAGGACACTCTGCAGGTCACAATTTTCATCTGATTTTGATGAAACTTGAAATGCATGTTTATAACCCAAAGATCATGGTTTCTTTTGATATTTGCGCATATCAAATTGTAACTTCTTGAATTATGGCCCCTGATTGTACGAAAAATCGCATTTTTAGCTTGTGGTCCCTCTAGAGGTCACAATTATTATCAGATTTAAAAAAAAAGTTTGAATATATCACCATTGCACTGTAATGATGCTTGAGTTTGGACCAGAATTGCCGCCTCTCGTACGCAAATAGTGTAAATATATGGTATATCAAGGTTGTGGACCCTCTAGAGGCCACAATTTTGATCCGATTTTGATGAAACTTAAAATACATGTTTATAACCCAAGGATCTTAGTTCCCGTTGATATTCGCACATGTCGGATTGTAACTTCCTGAATTATGGCCCTTGACTGTATGAAAAATCACGTTTTTAGCTTATGGTCCCTCTAGAGGTTACAATTTTTATACGATTTAAAAAAACAGTTGAAAATATCACTGTTACACCCTAATGATGGTTGAGTTCGACTTTTGTAAAAATCGTACCATAGGTGCCGGACAAAATGGCCATCATTTGTACGCAAATAGTGTAAATATATGGTATATCAAGGTTGTGGAGTTGTGGACCCTCTAGAGGACACAATTTTGATCCGATTTTGATGAAACTTGAAACACATGTTTATAACCCAAAGATCTTGATTCCTTTCTATATTCGCGCATATCGGATTGTAACTTTTTGAATTATGGCCTTTGTTTGTAAGAAAAATCAAGTTTTTAGCTTGTGGTCCCTCTAGAGGTAACAATTTTTATCCGATTGAAAAAACTAAAACATTTGAACAGATCACCGTTACACCCTAATAACGGCTGAGTTCGAATTTCGTGAAAATGGGACCAAAACTGCCAGACAAAATGGCAAATGGTGTAAATATATGGTATATCAAGGTTGTGGACCCTCTAGAAGGCACAATTTTGATCTGATTTTGATGAAACTTGAAAAAATATCTTTATAACCCAAAGATTTTAATTCCTGTCGATATTCGCGCATATTGTATTGTAACTTCCTGAATTATGAACCTTGATTGAACGACAAATTGCTTTTTATTTAGCTTATTTTCTATTCATCTTTTGCAAAATGTGAGCGTATCTGCCTGGCAGCTGCTGGTTTAAGGTAGCTGAAGAAAATTTCTTCCTGATCGGTATCCAGTTCTTGCAACATCGTTGACTTAAGTGTGTACACCTCGAAGGGGACTATGTAGAAAAATAAATGGAAACCATCAACTTTATACCAATCTTTCAAGGACTGACTTATAACTTTTCAGCAAGCCCTCGCACTTACCTGTCAAAAAATGATGTTAAACTAAGAAAAGTTATTTCACCTAATCCTCCACTTATACTGGCACACACAACCCCTATAACAAATAACATCATTAAAACGACCTAATAGTGAAGATTTCTTCGGGTTCAAGTTAATTCCTAATTTTTCAACATACATTATGCAAGAGCTAAATCTGCCTATTGCAGGTCTTTCTTTAGGCCTGAAATTATTAATTAGACATTAATTAAATTATCCAGATTAGGATCCGATTTGCTGCACAACTTTCATTCGTGATTTAATCATGAAATGGATAATCAAGATTATGTTTTTTATCGTACCGGCTAGGCTAGGTAAAAAATTCAATCGCTAAAATCTCAGTTCCGAGTGGATCAATTTGACTGAAATTTTCCACAAATTCTCTTTACATTATCTAGTTTTTAACTATTATAGTGAGAACTGCCAGCTCTTTATCTAATTTCCCATAATGCATCTTTAAGTTTAAATGGCATACATTGGTTTAGTAGTTGTCGTAAAAATGCATTTTATATTAAGGTTACCCACACTACTGAAAATGGCAAGATATTTGACCTTGTCAGTGAATCCATCACTTTCACTAGGTCAATGACTACAAGCTAGTACTGCGCTTTAGATCATTTTTTTGTTGGTATATATTTGTCAGGAAAACAACTATTTCTACTGATCACTATAATATTGAGGCAATATATTTACATATCTATAAAATGGAAAATCTTTAATGTGATTTTGGTTTTATGTCCATATGTATTGAAAGCAATTACACTCCACCATATATAACACACCCCTCTCTCATCCAAGGAATTCAGGAAAAATTGATATTCCCTATTATAACACAGAGGTAAAATTGATATTCCCCTATATAACACACAGGTAAAATTGATATTCGCCTATTATAACACATAGGAAAAATTGATATTCCCCTGTTATAACACACAGGAAAAATTGATATTCCCCTGTTATAACACACAGGAAAAATTGATATTCCCCTGTTATAACACACAGGAAAAATTGATATTCCCCTATATAACATGCAGGTAAAATTTGCCGTTGATATCATGCACTGTATAGACCTATTGGAACGGCAATATTTCCGATGGATTTATCCCATGCAATGTTGATTGTTTACAAAAAATGTTTAACAAGCCAACAGTGAGGCTGATGTCCCATGCCGAAATCTAAAAACAAATAGGTGACACAAATTAATCAATTGCACATTTATCTTTTTCAAAAGTATTGAGCAATCAAACTGATTATCTATACTTAGTCTAAGCATAAAATATTCACAATCAAACTCAGTCAAGGTTTTGAACAACTGGTAGTGATATACACTAAGTTTCATCACTCTCCATAGTTTGAATAAAAGTTATCTTATCTCAAAGCATCGACCAATGAAATTGCTTAGCTCTAATTAGTTTTAGCGGGAAATGTTAATCATTGAACTCAGTCAAGACATTCACCTAATGAACATCTACATCAAGTTTAAACTACCTCAATTAAAAGCAGAGTTGTTATGTTCCAAGGTCTTGACCAATCAAATTGCTTATCGCTACTTAGTCTAAGCAGAAACTTCTCATCATTGAACTTAGTCAAGGTATTGACATAATGAATCTATACTCAGAGTTTCACTGCTCTTGTCAACTGGAACAAAAGTTATTGTGTTCCATGGTCTCAACTCCCAACCAATAAAATTACTTATCTCTGCTTAGCATAAGTGGAAAATCTGCATGATCAAACTCACAGTTTTCACATAATAAACACCTACACCAAATTTAAACATTCTACCTCAATTAGAAGGAAAGTTATTGTGTTCCAAATTCTCGACCAATCAGATTGAAGTCTCTACTTTGCCTAAGCAGACAACTCTCAGCATCGAACTTTGTTAAGTAAGGTACTGATATAATGAAACAATACAACTATACACAAAGTTTCACCAATATCACTCAATTAGAATCAAAGTTGTCGAGCTCCAATGTCTCGACAAATCAAATTGCTTATCGCTCTCCCTACAATGCGCCGAAAATGTTTATTATTGAAATTAGTCAAGGTATTGATGTGATGAAACTGTAATTAGAACCAAAGCTATCGTGTCCAAAAAGCATCAACCAATGAAGTTGCTTATCTCTGCTTAGCCTAAGTAGAAAATCCTAATCTTCAAACTCAATCAAGGCATTCACCTAATGAACGCCTATACCAAGTTTGAACATTCTACCTCAATCAGAAGGAGAGTTATTGTGTTCCAAAGTCTTGTACAATCAAATTACTTATCGCAGAAAATGCCCATTATCGAACTTAAGATACTGATGTAATGAAACTGTACACAAAGTTTCATCACTCTCACTTAATTAGAACTAAAGTTATCATGTCCCAAAGCATCAACCAATCATATTACTTATCTCTGCTTACCCTAAGCAGAAAATGCTCATCTTCAACCTCCATCAAGGCATTCACCTAATAAACACCTACACCAAATTTGAACATTCTAGCTCAATTAGAAGCAGAGTTATTGTGTCCCAAAAAGTGTGACGACTGACAGAGAGAGGGAGGGACGGACGGATGGACAGATAGATTTTAACAGTCTCTTGCTTTCTTCGAAAGGCGGGGAACAAATATGCATTTTCCATCTGTAATATACAATGCAGGATACAATGCTAGAAATTTCAGTTATTTACTATCTAGTCTTCTAGATATTTTATCTTCTCGAGGATCATAATTTTGTGCTATTTTATAGGATAAGCGCTAATAGAATTATCTAAGCATAAAAAAAGTATTCTTACCTATAATGCTCAACCACACTTCATTAGCAAATGCTACAATAAGAAAACTGGCCATAGCAAAAAGAATAGTCAGCGAAACTTTAATTCTGGAAAAATAATTCATTGTCATGAGTATCATGAATAATTTGCATTTCTAGTAATTATGACAGTTCTGAGTTTATGTAACAGCTTTATTTAATATCTTTAAATTCAATTCTTTGTAATTAAGGATAGATCAGAGTGATGGTTTTGTTTGGTTAGCATCAGCAAGAAGAGTTGTACTACTAAACATAGTATTACGGCTACCCACTGTCCATGACATATAGATTAGAATTAAATACTGAAGGGAATACTTACCTGTATCCTATACGTTGTAAAAAAAATGGTGCTGTAAATTTGATTAATAAAGTTGGTAATATATCAGCTAGAAGAATTGCCTGTAATATAGTTATTAATAAACCATTTAATACATTGTTCTTGGATCTAAATCAGAAACATTTCACCCAATTTTTGATACAATAAGTACCAAAAATTCAACCACAAAAGAGAGAGACTTTACAAAATGAAACAAGTTTACAACGTCAAAAACATGGATCTGTAGGTGGGCCATTCACAAGCTTATGTAAAATTCGAAGGTAAAGGAAACACATAATATATTTTTCAGCCTAGAATACTTTCTAAATTCTAAGAATCTGACATAATTTATACAAATTTAAGACAATTTTACTCAAAAGTTCCAAAACGACATCTCTGCCAATATACAGCATGTATAAAATTTGGTCTGGACGTAACGTATTGCAATACGTTCATTTCAACTATTATGCTTAATGCTGAATTCTGTGAGGATCTCTTGTTGACTGTTTTCCAGAGAAATCTGACATTGTGGGAATTCAATTTACTGATAGGCTAGTAAAACCATAGAAAATTACTTACCCCGGTACTAATTTGATTACAAGTCATATAAGACGTACCATTTATAGTTGTTGTAACTGGTGATACTGTCTAAAAGAAATGCAGTATAACAAAAACTTGTGAGAAACACATTAATCATTCCCTTGAAGAGATATTCTGTGCAGAAGTGTCATATCATGGCTGGTTAAGTTGCCATGCTCAAGGAAAAAGAAGTGACAAGTTTGATTATCGAAGTATGGTTTTATCACATTCTAACATGCCTGTTGGTCCAGGTTTGAGGGCTAGTGACTCTCAGAAAGCAATAAAAACTAAGACTTCAAAGTGCCATATCATGGCTGGTAACGTTACTTTGCCCAAGGAAATACATGTGACAAGTTTGATTATCGAAGACCACAGCCCTCAAAAGTATGGTTTTATCACATTCTAACATGACTGTTGGCCCAGCTTTGTGCTAAATTTCTTACCAAATTATTCATTTGAGAGAAGCTAGAATTTTAGTTCACAGGCATTTACCCGACAGTGTTCAAAATTCAGCCTGGAGAAGTAATTAACGTTTAGCAAGAAACAGCATGGGAGACATCGCGACTTTGTTAATGCAAAGAGGTTTTCCTAGTTTAAGAATCAGTTTAAGAGATACGTACTGTGGTAGAATTATGTCCCGAGGTACTATTTTGGGCTGCTGCAGTTTCATCATCAAGAATATCATGTGCTGCACTCAACATTATAACATAGGCAAAATTATTACATAATCCTAGAAACCTGAAACAAGAAATCCCATTCATTTTAAAGCAAGCAAAATGAATGCACATAGTATAGACATTTCTAAGTCATTTATGACCCTGGCAGTCTGGCACCATAGGCACAGTTCTAAAGAAGAATTGGAGGAGGGGGGATTTTTATTTCTACATGTAAGTTAATTACAAGTAGTTTTTATGTGGTGCGAGAAGGGATCCAGAGTAGCTAAGTAAATTGAAATGGCTTTTGTGCATTAATTTCTTCTAACAATCCACCCATGCACTCATAGGTATGAAGGTAAATAACCCTTTACGAAATGCTGGCGTCCAGGTGAAATTTCCCTAAAGGGAAACATCATGGTCTAGGCATGTCTTCATTAAACTGATTGGGGCAGAAAAGTAGAACTTAAACCCCATTTCATTTCATCCATTTGTGAAAATTAAACCCAAAATTTGGATATTTTTTGTAAAAAATAGGTGTTTATCTATTAGGCAAAATATTAGGCATGTTAATCAAAATAAATAAACTTACCAAAATCCTACAAGATTTCTTCGTAATGTTGATTTCTCAGACATGACTACTGAAAAAAAAATGTTATGAATAAATTTGGAGAAAAAAAATTACAGTCATAAACTTAAAGAAGGTTTCATAAAAGCAACATAATTTATGAATTGGCATCCAATTATATTGAAAAATCAATTTTATGCTTACTGTTGGATAGGCCTATCAACTTGTGACATTCCCAAGATGTGTTTTACATTCTGAAGTCCAATACACTGTAATTACATGCACCTTATGTGTAATTATTAGGGCTGTATACACTGTAATTACATGCACCTTACATGTATATCAATAAAAATTAGTATATGATTCACATGATCTGGATGGCTTGAGGTGGTTGAGGGAGCAGCAGTTTCAAGCTGTCTAGGGATATATATCGGTTAAATTAATTGTATCACTTTTCTCTAATTTATTTCAAGGAACCATATTTACATGTATCAAGTGCTAAAGAGTTAATTTCCTTTAAGCCTTTGTGGTTTCCAACTACATCCTATGAAATGCCAATAGGCACATTCTTTCTTGTTCCACGAATTACCATGGACCATCATGGTTATCCCACAAACAAGTTTATTTAGGTATGAAATCCCCATGGTTACCTGAAATTGTCTCATGAGCCACAAGAGTTTTGAATTGAGCCCGTTAAAAAGCCAATATGGATCAGTACAATTATTCCATAGAAAAGTTATTGTCCCATGAAATACCCATGGTTATCCCATGGGCAAGGTTGTGCTCTTATGAAAACCCCATGGAATCACTTGAATGTCCCACAGACCACCATGATTTTCCAATGGGCTCTCATGGGACCATATAGATGGATGTCGAAATTTGTTTAGTTAAAATTACTAAAATCCAACAAAGACAAGTTGTTTAAACAGCCCTTATTGTGTAATCCTACAGGATAAAGTCCACTCTATTAAATATAATAAGTCATTTCTCTGACATGTGGTTCACTAAAGAGAGTTTATAGGTTATCAAATTCTTATTTTTGTTATGATTATTTAAGGGGGCCTGACAGTACATTTATTATTGACATAATCTTATTTATATAGAAATATGCATGTCACAGTGCCATACATATTTTCCATGCCTATTTGACGGCTATTGGTGTGGTTGACAAAAAGGGGGATAGTCATGCATAAAAACAAGCTCCAATTTTTATGTCAGTTTTCGAGATCTTTCAAGGTTTGGAGTTTTGGGAATTATCAGATGTTTCTATAACATCTGATAGTAAGATAGGTTGCCAGGCAATGAAACATACACCCACAACAGCTAAATCGTTCGAGCAGTCGGCAAAGGTTGTTGCATATTTATCCTTTTGTAGGTAATAGGGGGGGCATTTATAAGACCATTTCATACAGATCAGATTGTAATTTTCACCGTTTGAGGGCTCAAAATGTTCTACAAACTAAAACAAGGGCCTTAACTCTGGAAGTAATTTACAGAATTTGTTGAAATTTGACAGGTTTTTTCGACTTAATAATTTGAATAATGCATATAAACTTCATATATATCAGATGATAACTTTTGTCGTTAGAGCGTTCACAAAGTTCAACAAAGTAAAACAAAGGCCATAACTCTAGAAGTAAGAAACAAAAATTGCTGAAATTCTATAGGCTTCTTCATTTCACTAATTGAAATTATGCATTTAAATTTCATACAGATCGGGTGATAACTTTTGTTGTTAAATCGTTCGAAAGGTTCAACAAAGTGATGTAATTAACAGAAATTTCTGTAATTCAATAGGGTTCTTCATTTCACAAAGTTAAATGATGCATATATGGTAAATTCCATACAGATCAGATGATAACTTTCCCAGTAAGCATCACAACATCTATATGGTGTTGATAAAATGTTAAATCATGATGTTGAGAAAAAGGTGAAATATGGGTGTATAGGTCATTTGAAACAATGTGTGCACTTCAACATTTATACAACATTACAATTCCAATATTGATTAAATGATCAAATTTCAAAAGTTGAGTTGAAATGAAACATTGAATCAATGTGATTTTGATGTCTGTCCTTGGTTGGAATTTGACATAGGATCCACATGCCAAGGGCTTACTATTTACTTAAAGCACAACCCCTTTCAGCTAACAAAAGAATTTGGGATATCCTAATCCTGTTTGGTAGACGAGGCAAAGGTGTCAGTCAAAAGGTAACACTTCCCTGAACAGAACAAAACAGATCTTTGGTCTTGAAAAAAAAAAAATGGCTAATAAGACAAAGGTCTGCAGTAGCCCACAGATACAGTACAATTTGAACTTCTGTCGGTACCAAAGCCACGACGTACTAAACAATTTGTTGAGGGATGGGAGAAACCTTCGAAAGAATAATGAGCAGGTACCTCAGCCTCTACTTGATATCTGTCGTAGCAACCTATTATCACAGGTTTAGACCTTCAAACACTACCTAGCCGCTACTCGTCAGTGGTTGGGATTATAGGCTTTCAGATATAAGCTTGTGGTACTGTCAATTTGCAAGCATGGGAACTCTTGCTATGGAGACTAACCAGTATAGCTTACACTAGCCAATTAAGATAATAACCCTCTTCATGAGAGCGTGATTACGAGATAATACAGCCTACCTTTCGAACGTCAAAACATGTTTTTATACATTTATAAAAATACTTACAATCTGATGAACGTATGATAAATAACAATACACTTTATAGATCTTATAAATAATGGAACTGAGATATACATGACATGTAATATACCAAAATTGACAAAATGTGATTCTTCATATTATGGTTAATAAATTGAAATGAATAAAATAACATGATAATTATTAGGAATGATTATATATGTAAACAATTACTTATCATTGCTATGAAATAATGAAAATAAAATGAATCGGATTCACCACATGTGACATTGAATCAACTTGGCTTTCTCACGAGTGTTAAACAAACACTTTTTCGGTGTGGTTACCCATGACCAGAAACAAGTAAGTGCTCCTATCCTTACCACTGAATAAATATTGCATTGTCAACATAAAGAATAATTGTTACGTTAAAGATACAATATGTAAGATTTAGATAAAGAGCTAGCCATTTTTGCTATAATAGTTTGAAAATAGATAATGTAAAATGAATAATTTAAAAATTTCATTCAAATTACACAACCTCTATTGCGAGCGAAGATATTGGCCTTCAAAGGTTTGACAAGAAGTGTGCAATAATTTCAAGCACCGAACTGGTTATTCGAAGCTAAGTCTCGCTCCTCCATTTCTAAATTAAATCAGAATATGGCTGAACCGTTCTAATCTATTTAATATCGGAGAAAACCTTAGCCATCAAAAGTTGATTATGGCCTGGAGCAGTTAATTAATATCTAATTAATAATTTAGAAAACATTTCAGGCCTAAAGAAAGACCTGCAATATTGGCAGATTTAGCTCTTGCATAATGTATGTTTAACAAAAAGTAACAACATTGATTCAATGTGTATAAATCAACTTCAGCTGAAATGTTGGATTTTAGGTAGAAATAAACCTGTAAACAATGTTCTGAGTTTCAACCGCCCAAAAATATGCGAAATCACACATTTGACTGATGTAGATTCCTTGTTGAATTGATACAGATTAATTTTAATATTTTACAACAACTTAAAATCAACATGACAACATTAGATCAATGTTTTTGGTTCAATCACACATAAAACCCAAGTTGAAAAGTAGAAATAACAAAATCTGATGATTGAAATAATAAGGTAGATATAAAATTGTTTCACTATAGAAGCCTGATGATTGTCATTAATAACATTGAATCCATGTAGATTTTTGGTAGAGGTTTACTGGGTTTGTTGTTTGCCAGAACTCTAGAAGTAATTAACGGAAATTGCTGAACAAATTCAATAGCTAGTATTCTTCATTTCACTAATTTGAAAAACGCATATAAATTTCATACAGATCAGATAATAACTTTCACTAGTTCAACAAGGACCATAACTCTAGACATGTTTCACTAATTCAAATGGTGTATATAAATTTCATACCGATCGGATGATAACTTTTGTTGTTAGAGCATTCACAAAGTGCAAAAAAGTAAAACAAGGGCCATAACTCCAGAACAAATTGACTTACGTTGACAAAGTTAATTGTCAGCAAATTTCCATGGAACAATTAATAATTGATCCGCAACAGATTACATTAGGAGATTATTCTTTATGTGTTGTCAAAAGTGTGCTACTGACCAATAATCCATTGGTGACAAACCATTGTGGTTGATAGATCTATTTCGAAATAACTGAATACATGGCAATGAAAAGTTGTTCACCTAGTCACCAAAAGCTTTGCTCGATAGGATGTTGCCAAGAAGAAACAGGCTGCCTGTGACAATAAATCAAGAATAGAATATGAAGTTAATGAGTGTCCATCAAGTTTTACAGATATTTATTCCAATTAAACAATGATCGCAAGTGTTGTGGATGAATAAATATCACTATGATTCATCAACTTCTAATGTTGTAAAAAGTCAGTGATCTACCCACACTTTAACATATCACTATTATACCAATATCAAATAGTTTTATTGTTTACTATATATCTCAAATCCATTAATATTAATTTATTCTACCATTCTATTATTAATATTAAATCAATATATAGCCATGCTCACGCTCAGGGGACTTCAAAATATTTGCCACGCTGGAAAAATTCTACATATTATACAGAGAAAAAACTCACTGTATCTACGAAACCATAAACTTCTGCACAAATTTTCCGGAAAACAAATGTGTCTACAACTATTATTCTTATATTCAATATGTATCAATAAATTGTGTTGAATGGTTTACCAGAGAATTAGATTTTCTCAAAAGATTTTTCAAATTTTATTTACCTTAGATAAATAAAATCTTGGTTTACAGATTTACATGAAAGATTTTTTACCGATGTAATATGGACTTGGGTTTTAAAGCATATTTTTCTCTTGGCAGAGTGAATAACAGGTCAAATAAATTTTTTTTAGCCCAGAAGTTACAAGCCAAGTGTCAAAAGTGAACAGATTTGCTTCTTTTTTGTTATCTAGAAACAGACCTCCCTGCTACCCCACCATCCCGCTCCCTCATCAAACCCAAAGTGGATATCATTGGTTTATATACAGTATATAATATACAATCTACTATTTTATTATCAAATAAATATTGTTTAATATAATACATGTACATGTATACACAATTAACTAATTCATTCATTCTAAACAACAGCAGGGTTCCACAAGCTGTAATAAACAGCATTTAATTGTCATTGCAAATGAAGAGTATTATGTGCCCAATATTATGTGCACTAGAATTTAAAGATCCATTAAAACTTAGATAAAGAGCTGGTCGTTCTTGCTATAAATTATTGTTTAAAAAGAGATAATGACAAATTTATTTTATCCTTAGCGTGTATTCTGAGTGTTTGAAGTTCTGACAAAATATATACCAGTAGCTTAATAGTCTTGATTGTTATGTACATGTACTATTGCTAGGAAAATAAACTAAGTCTTGATTATCCATTTTAACGTTAAATCATTAAATGGCGCAGGTGTTCTAATATATGTACATACAATATCTCACATGTTATGTGAATAAATGTCTTAATAATGATTAATGTAACATTTGAAGCAAGAAAAGACCTGCAATAGGCAGATTTAGCTCTTGCATAGTGCATCTTATAATACAAAATTAAGCAACCTAAGATTACAAGAAGTTTACTAGATGCACTTATTTCTATTTGTTTGATTTGGGGTATAGGCTGGTAGGTGAACTAGAAATTCTTTGTAACTGTGGAAAAAATTTCGATACGAATGATTCTTGAATTTTATGAAAGGTATATGTGAGTATGACTTTTGGACAAAAGTCCCCAAAAATCGGCCTCAGGCAAAAAAATTTATAGACATTTTTAGTTTTGGTATCCGAATTTTGGGAAAAAACAATATATCGTATTTTTTCTTTGACATTGTTACTTTGTATGGTGTAAAAATATAGGTTTTCTGGGTCGCAGAATCCGAAAAAGCCATTAATTTTATCGTCCGGTTACCATGGCAGCCAGTTTCATACTTGGTATCCGATTTTCAATGAAAAAATATGCAAAAAAAACGAAAAAAATGACGTGTGTGTATCTAATTATGGTTCATTTTCTAAACACTGGACGCAGTAATACAACATAATCATTTCTCGTGGTATTAAGATCAAGTTTAACATTTTTTAAAATGTTAAACTTGATCTTAATACCACGAGATATTAAAATATCATGATGAAATGCCGCCCTCTCTGTCGGTGGCAATCGTTCAGGTTCAATCTTCTTCGCATTAAACACCATTATCTGCCACCGACAGAGAGGGCGGCATTTCATCATGATATTTTAATATCTCGTGGTATTAAGATCAAGTTTAAGTATGTTAGGATTACAGTATGTTTATATATACTAGTTGTATGCTATCGTATATAAAACATGTAGATAGTCAGTGTGTCATTAACTCTTCTGAAACACACTTCTACAATCTAACTAAATATGACGTCTACACATGCTCTAGCTGCACGTTTACTAAATAACTGGTTAATCAAGACTCCTATAGACAGGAACAATACAGGAAGTTATGATATTGATGAGAATTTGACTGGTTTGAGGTGGTTACAAAGTCTAAACGTTGGTCAAATCAACAAGAATTTTTTCCACAGCTTGGAGGTTCTCCTACCAGCCTAGTAATCATATTAATCAGAATACGACATGCTGTACATAACACAAGAAATATTTGTAGATAAAGTCTATTAAAGGGTATGGAAGCTTACTGACCACATTTTTAAAATCACATGTCATCAGTGATGACCTTATTCTTGCCTTTGTCAAATCCAACTAAAATTGCACGACAAGCCAAATCATGAAACAGGAACCTCGTTTTAGCCTATTGGTATTGTAATCATGTCTATTACAGTCAGTAACCAAACTGTTGGTGTTTGGTACATGTATGCATGTCTGAAAAATATCTTCAATTTCACAATTTTTCCCGAAATCTGAACTATTATATGTATTTGTAATTTAGCATGAATAGGTTTCTCTAAAACTTATGTTAGGGATTTGTGATATTTTAAACTTTTCCAGATTTACATCATGTATGCAGAAGTTTGTATCGAAAATGTTCATTTAATTGCGACTACAGAAATAAAACAAGTGAGAGAAGTGATAAACCAATCATTTAATTGTCAAAACAAGTTGAAGATGCTTTATGTAAGATTTAGAAAAAGAGCTGGCCGTTCTTGCTATAATAATATCGTTCCAAAAAAGATAATTCAAATTAATATATTGAAAACTTCATTCAAATTACTTTAGACTGAGCGACGTTATCACTGTTTGAAGTTTTGTTTACTATTGTATAGCAATGTTACTTGGTGACTCAGCCCCACTTCTCCATTTTTAAATTTAACCATTAAATTGCAATCGTATTGTAATCCATTTACATCTGCGCCATCCGATGGTCTACAGAGTTGATTATATGCTTGTCATGCGAATAAATGTCTAAATAATAATTTACATAACATTAACCTAAAAATAAAAACCTATAAAAGGGATCTTTAAGTTAAAGCGATAATTACATAATTTCTAAGAACGTCAAAACATAATTAATTAACAGAAGTCAGAAGGATGATTTATCTTATCAACTGGAATGTACTTTTATATGTAGACCACTTCGAATTCTCCCAAACAGGATGATAACACTGTATCTTATCAGTGGAGATTAACCTTAAAAGAGTTGATAGTTTTTCAGCTACATGTGTGCCTAAATAATGGAGGTGCGATTGAGATTCATATAATGATCCTGCGATCATGAAAAAAAAATCATTCCTTGTGAGTTGACTTACTATTGTGTCTACGACGTGCACGACTGCTGCCACTCACTATTAACGGTTCACTATCATCTGATTCAATAATTAATGGGACATCATCCTCTAACGGAAGCGATTCCGTATCTGTTTTTCTATATCTACTACCCATTATATTTATATCTATTTGTTATCTATACATAAGTGTTAATCAATTTATCATTTATCAGTTTGTTTTGATAAATTTACAACGCCATGTTGTACAGGAAATTTATCACGTGACGAAACGTAAATCATGTGACGACTATGAGACTACTCTATTTAGTTGGCATTTGGGCTCAGACTAGTAATCCTCTCCTTTAATTAATTGCCTCGTTAATGATCGGCACTTTGTTCTTTGTGTGCTTTTTATACGTAATAAGCTGCGCCCCTTTGCCAGCACATAATCGCCATATATTAGGTTTTAACTGGTAGGCATTTATGTTCAGCGGAATTTATTAAGACCAACCATTTGCGTTAAAGTGGTTATGTTATATATAGCCCAAAATGTCTGGTTCCGAGAGTGAGTCAACCGTCAAACCAGACATTGAAAGGAAAGAAAATATGAGAACAAGGACCAGAATGACGGTTCATGCAGAGTGCGCGTCATTAAATCAGGTCCAGGAATGACTTTTGGGTTGTTGTAATCCTTCGCATGTAAGCTTACCGGTATTGAATTTAAGTTGCAACCAATAACGATCAGAATATTCTTTAGTGGGGTCTATTACTCATATAGCCGAGAATTACCCCACATAATCTGTCATGTTGCTAGACATTATATATTTGGAGAGTGGAGTGTGTGTGGGGGGGGGGGGGGAGGGGGGGTCTGTGTGTCGCCTACAAGCCGCAATTAAAACTTTACATACTTATTCCTTATAGGCCTACCCTAAGGATGATCCCTATTGTTTTTGGTGCATGCCCGACTCCCAGGGGCAGAAACACATCCATGTTTGTATCTGTTTTTTTGTCGTCCACAGTTCGCATTTCTTAACGGATCCATTTCAAACTTTGCATACTTATTCATTATACCCTAAGGATCATCAGTATTGTTTTTGGTGCATACCCACGCCCCAGGGCAGAGCCACGCCCATTTTCTTTTTGTATGTGTGTCGCCTACAAGCCGCAATCATTCATCGATCGTCTTGAAAAATTTTCATACTTATTCCTGATACCCTAAGATGACCCTTATTGTTTTTGGTGCCTATTTTTTTGTATATGTTTGTTTGTCGTCAACAGTCCGCATTTCTTAACGGATCCATTTGGAACTGTACATACTTCTTCCTGATACCCTAAGGAACATCCCTATTGTTTGTGGTGCATGCCCAACCCCCGGGGATAGAGACACGCCCATTTCCTTTTTTGTGTTTCTGTGTGTCGCCTACAGGCCGTAATTCTTGTGGTTTGTCTACAGGCTGGAATTCTAAATGGATCATCTTGGAACTGGGTATATTTATTCTTTACAGTGTTTATTTTGGTGCATGTCCCGCCCCCCAGGAGTGTGGTGCCACACCCACTTTTTTGTTAACCTTTATCTGCAAATACTCTACAGGTTGCAATAGTTAACAGATTTTGTTCAAATTCAGCATATCAATTATTTCAATAACAGGGTGATAATTATTTATATTGTTCCATATCCAACTCCCAGGGGCTGAGCCACGCCCAATTTTTGTATTTATCGTCTACAGGCTGCATTCTGAAATTCCTTCTACTGTAAGACCACAACTATTTATTTTGGTGAATGCCTCGACCCCCTGGGGTGGTGTTAATTTTAGTCTGTAAATTTGGCAAAACAAACCCAACACCTAGTCTTCTTTGCCTCTTGTCATATTACATTCATATTTCATTCTCTTCATTTTAAAAAGTACCATATCAATGAAAGCAGGAATGTGGACGTATATTGCAACGTTAGCGATGCTCTCGTTTGTTATTTTATGCACTTTGTTTATTATTAGAGGTTGTCATATTTGATATATTCCGATATTTTCGTTTGTACGGTGTCCATTACCCCGACTTGTGCAGAAAAGCAAGACAGCAATCATTTTTTTCAGTTTGGTTATATATCAGAATTTGAATAATTCAGTTTAATTGTATTCCAAGTTTCTTGTATGAACCCAGTATAGATAACCAGTGTGACGCACTATAACGTGTATCCGTCATAGACATATTATTACTAGTAGAAGGTAAAGCATCTATAGCGGGATAAGTTTCATTTTTAATGTGTAGCTGGCAAAGAAGGTGTCTCTGGTCTTTCTGGTCAACGAAATTTAACGTTCCATGGTGGTTCACTTGGTGAATCGTGTGGTACATACAGAATTCAAAGAGGAGGTGAAATGCCATCGAACGATATAATGCTCATTCAGGCACTGCCCAGCTAATTATAGAAAGTAAAAATAAATACCATTTAGCTTTTTCCAACATGTTTATATTGGTCCCATATTGGTTACGTTTGGTATATAATTATATATTGTTTATACAGGAATTAGTACGAGATGTATAGTGTATCAAGACGTTCATGAATTCAAAATTGAAAGAATTTTTTATAGGGTTATTTAGTCTTTTACATGGGGTGACGGAAGTCGAATGTTTAGAGAACTGTACTCGCGATTATGATGACCCGGATTCGAATCACGACGCGAGCCGAGAAGAACCTTGGGAGTTTAGATTTTTTAGCCCGGTTCCGACGTGTTAGGGGTAACGTCTGTGGAACTGACAAAGGAAGTGTTACTCGTCGTTAGGGTGAGGCGATGACAGTTCATCCTGCCACACTGACATGTGTGTAAGAGAGCCTTGGCAATTGAATTCGAAGAGGTGTATCCGAAGACGAGGCCGTTCGGGTGAAATGCACTTCCCAAATATATCCCATGTATCCATAGTGAATAAAAAATAATCGTGTGTTAGTCTCAAAATGACCCGCGTATAGTGTCAACGAGAGGTTAATCTGCACCATTTTACTTAACACAATACACAGATATTATTATTATTAGTATTATTACAGCATATTATAGTGCCCCCTTCATATAAAATGTTCAGAGGCACTTTACAAAGTGGCAATGTAATCATAAATAAACAACAAGATTATGGACATGTTAACGATTGTATACAGTGTCAGTTAAAAGCCTGATTAAATAAATGTGTTTTAAGTTGTTTTTAAAAGAATATAGAGATGTACAACATCTTAAACTAAATGGTAGATTATTCCATAAAACAGGTGCTTGATAACTAAATGAGCGCTGACCATAGTTGAACAGTTTTGGGCTTTAAAAGTAGTTTATCTGATGTACATAATGTTCGGCCAGGTGTATAAAGACCTGAGAGGTAAACAGGAGCTAAATTATTTAAACATTTAAAAGTAAGTAATAAAATCTTAAAATCAATTCGATATTTAACAGGTAACCAGTGTAAATTATATAAAACAGGAGTTATGTGGTCACATTTCTTAGTTAAAGTTATAAGTCTAGCTGCAGTATTCTGTACTTTTTGTATATAATTTATCGATAAGCTTTAAAGGTAAACCAACTAAAAGTGAATAAGTTATCTAATCGAGAAGTGACCAGAGAATTAACAAGTGACTTAGTGGCGTCTACAGTTACAAATTTACGTATTTTATCAATATTTCTGATATTAAAATAGCACAATTTACAAATATTATTTACTTGAACACCCATAAGCATAAAACTATCAAAGATTGCCCCAATATTACGAGCAGAATAAGATGAAAATATATCACAATTACCAATTACAACAAAGGGGTTATCATGTGAAAATTTACTTAATTGGTGCCTTGAGCCTAATAACAAATATTCGGTTTTATCATCATTCAATTTTACAGAGTTCTTTGGCATCCATTTTCTAATTTCACTAATACAGTTCACAAGTTGCAATTTTGATAAATTGAAAGAAGATGGACAATTAGGTGTAAATGAAATATATAATTGAGTATCATCGGCATACAAATGAAAGCTTAGCCCATATTTTCTGACAATATCACCTAATGGTGACGTATAGAGGGTAGATAAAATCGGACCAGATGATATATTGAATTTTAGTAAAGATTTCTGATCAGGTCACAAGACCTTCTACTCATTGTAAGGTTACTTGAGATATCAGACTACAGGTACACTGTATTAATCTTCTGGTTAGACATCTTAAAGATATTACACTGATGGCAGATCCAATAGCACAACGGGGGCCGCGGTACCTCAGCCAAGAAGACGCTGGGGTGCTCTAGTTATATTTATTCGGTGTGCTCCGGGTAATAACTTGTGCGGGCTAGATAATAACCAAAGAGCGTCAGACATATATTTTTTGTATTTTGCGTCCCTTACCGGGCTCCGTAGATATCATAAAAAAGTCAATATAACATTTATGCTCCATCGTACGTGAAAATGTTATGGAAATTGAAGCTATGAATGTTATTATACAGTTTCCCACTACGTCTCCGATTGGGTCAGTGTTTAGTAGAATATACAAAACGAAATGGAAAGAACGGGAATGTTGAGAAATTCAATCATCGACGTTGTACATATGTTACTCTTTAAAAGTTGAATTGCTGGCCATGGTTACAAATCAAAAATCTTAATGGCAAAAGACCAGCAATTCGTAACCCCATTTCAACAATTCGCGGTATTAAAGAAACCAGAGTCCAATCTATTTTAAGTCAAGTCGCGATATTGGCAAATAAAAAAAAACACCAACAAATATTTTACTTTTATAAGATTTATAGGGCATGTTTCAATCTAAACACAGGGTTAAAGAATAAATTAATTTTAAAATAGTTTTACAATAATATTTATAATAGTTCTAAGATGCAGAACAGCTACTAAGCACTATAATATATCACATTCATACATGATTAAATATTAAACATGTTAAATATATCTATATCATTATCAACATTATCTAATGGTGGAATACATATTTCATTATAATCATTATTTAAAAATGTAGAATAGTTTGATGTATTTAGTCCATGGTTTTTATTAAAGTTTTTATCAAGGTCTTTCTGCCACCAATCATGATCACCACTTCCATCTGATATTAAAGATAAATCTAAAGAATCCCTTGATTCATCATTGACAATATTCGTAGATTCATCAGTAAAATTAATAACTAGCAGATCATCAAAACACGTCATTTCATCAGAATTAACGTCACAACTGGAAAGAGGTGAAGACATTGTATAACTATTAAGGTCATCAGCTTCATCACCGGAAACTTCTGGAGT